GACAGGGCAGGAGTTGATAGATCACAAATTTCAACTTCCCTGAGGTTAGTGTCCAATAATAGTTGCCTCAGTGAGCTGGAACCAGTAGCTTTCCTTCTTTCAGGTTAAGCGTGGGCTTCTTTCCAGCTTTCAAGTTGGAGACAGAGATTAAGGGTCTGATACAGGCTGCCAGCTAAACCTGAAGTTCGACATTCCTTCTGGTGGTCAAATTGCAACTGCCTTAGAATCTCAGGATTGTATATTTAAACATTTCAGGAAGTACAGATTTCATTCTTTTGGCAAAGAAATGGACATTTTAGGTGCATTAGACGGTCCATTTGGTAGGTTAATTGAAAGGTTTTTAAGTTGACAGTGTAACTTCACCTTCCCCAACAGAGTCAATTATGAGGTAATGAAGTAACTGTAAAGTCATCAGCATCCACTTCAGCGTAGTCAGTCTTAATATTTTTCTTTGTCCAGAACTGACTGGAAGCAGACAAATCATCTCCAAGTCCTTTGAGTCGACTTTAGCTGGAATGTCAAATAGTGCTTGGGGTTCAGAAGCTTCTGGAAATATAGTCACATGATCAGTATCTGCAATTTTATGAGTCAAGCAAGGTGGGGCTTCCTCTTCCTTCAGAACCAGCAGTGGAGGCTACTATACTAGACTATGCCTACCTGGTCCAAGATTGGAACCCAGTTTGAAGCAGCCTCAGTTTTCAAAAGGAATGCCGAGTTCTGTATGAAGATCAAAGTTCTCTTTCAGTCCAGCACTGTCTTCGGTACCTCACACTTATTCTTATCTCATCTCCCAGCAAGGCTTACAATCTCCCCATCTCACCAGTGCATGCAACATCTTCCCCACTCACTCCACACACCCCAACCTCAAGAACTGACTCTGGTTTCCTGTTGACTGGTTTGTAAGGTGAGTTTGGCAAGATCACAATCCATGCTGTGTTGTATATAACAAGGCTTTTAACAAGAATTATGATTATCAATTGGGAACTCACCACTTCCTAGTCAGAATCTTGTCACACCACTTAGGGAAATATGTACAAGATGCTGCAGGATCATCAATGAGATTGGCCTCACTAAACACGTTGCTTGATTCTACGACTCAACTTGCCATATCCCATGTCACTCAGAACCTGACTGGATTCCTCCATAGAATCCCTGGTCAAAAATAAGAGGTTCGCCCATTTAAGACAGAGATGAGGATTTTTTTGTTCTCAAGGGTTTTGAGCGTATAGAGCCCTCTTCCTCAAAAAATGGTGGAAATATACTCTTTGAATATTTTTAAAACAAAGAGAAATGGATTCTTGTTAAGCAAGGGGTTGAAAGGTTCTTGTGGCAGGCAGGAATATGGAGCAACCAGATCAGTCTTGATCTAATTGAATAGCAGTGCAGACTTGAGGGATGGAGTGGCCTACTCCTTCTCCTAAGTCTGTATGTTCGTATAAGTGTTCATAAATTATCTCAGTGTCTATCAGGAAGTGGGTGGGAGAGTTTGGTCTTTAGTTTCCCTTTCCCTACTATCCTATTTTACAGTGTGTGCAGTGTAATAAATGGATGAAAATCACCCTTCTTTATACCCTTTTTGTAACACTGTTGTAGACAGAAATTCTCAGAGCTTGTCAGAAAACTGTAGCAGTCAGCTGGGAGAACAGGGATCAAAGGTTGTATAAAGTAAAAGAAAGCAATTGTCCTGAAATGTCTGCACATAATTCAGTTTCACACTTCCTGATTTTGACCTTGCTTTGCTGTTCCTTTTTAGAAGAAATGTTTCAAACTAAATTATTTTTAATTTCTCAGATGAGTTAAGCATAAATTCTGTATTCTTTCATACTGCATGTAGTTTATTGTCCTCCTTCACTTGCACCCCCTAATGACTGTTGTCTTGGCAGGAAGTCTCAAAGCAACACTTCAAGCTTCAGCACAGCAACAGAAAACATTATTTCTTAGTTTTTTTTCTCTCTGTGGATATGATAGTGCCTCAATCTGGACAAATAGCAGACTGACTCCTGGTGAATTATGTAACAGGACAAAGTATGAAATTTTTTAAAAAAGTATTTTCTTCCATTTTACTAATGTTAGTTCTTAAAAGGCCAGTTTATCTTCTTAGTCTACAGTTCTCAAAATGATTAGTACATGAAGGTTTCAGTATAAAACATTTAAAAACTCACAGGTCTCATTTGACTTCCCTGAAAACTCACTGCATTCATAAAAGTGAAGAGTGGAATACAAATCATTGTTTTACTGCTGGAGGAATATTTAAAGAAGCACTCACCATTGTACACTCGACATCTCAAAACACTGATTAACCAACAAATTATTTGGAAGTGCAAATCCTGTTGCTTTGTAGGTATTTGCAGCAATTAGTTTGTTCACAGCAAGATTCAACAAATAGCAGTAAGAATCATGACCAGTCAAAGTGATTTTGGTGATGCTGATTGACAAACAACAACATGAGAAACTGGAGAACAGGTACACTGTATTGCTCCTTGAGGCTGTTCTACCATTCAGTCAGATCATATAAACTGAACTCCATTTTCCTGCCATATCCACAAATCTTTTGAATCTGCTTTTTCCCAAAATCGAGGAAGGTTAGTCTGGACATAGGGAAGACTACCTGTTCTTGTTTGAATCAAGTTTTTACATCTATATGAGGAAGGAAACATCTCATTCAACAGATTGCAGGCTCTGCACTGACTGTAACAAGGTGAGGCAGGTGGAGCCTCAGAGAAACTGAGTTCCCTGATTGCGGCTGCCCACCTGGTCCAATCAGGGAGCCTTGGCTGACAGACAGGAACAGGAGCCTCAGGGATTCTGCTCACTCTGAGAGCTGGCTCTGAGGGAGCTGGACCAGTGTCAAGGACTCTCCACACGTGCAAGTGAAGGGTGACTTGGTGATGGGCCTTTGTGGAGTCTTTCCCTTAGCAGTGCACTGAAATTCCAGTACATATCATGTGTCCAAATTCAAAAGGGGGAATAAAACATTCTGGGCCTAACTTTTGCAGAATTATGGTAGGTCTTAAGAGGTGGTGTGCAGGCTTTGGATCCAGATGTTCCACCCTGATTCCTGGTAAATCACATGTTTGCCAGTAGATAGGTGTGGAGGGAAGTGCATGAAATACACAGGCACAGGTTATGAATTACCTGGGTATATAACTAAGTGCACACTGCAAGTGGACCTGATTGCCCCAGGAACAGCCTCAACACACGATATGTTTTCCATGACTTCATGCTGAAGATTGAAGTGCTCTCAAAAAGCAGACAAAATATGTAATGCTGTCAAGGTGGCAAGTTATTTAAATCCTTTGTCTTTTAAAGTCTGCAAAAGACTGCCTTCCTGAGTCTGAAAGTGAAAATGACCTGTTGTATGCTGTTCTCACAGATATCTGTTGACACACCGTAATGTAGCAATTGTAATGAGGTTAGCCAGCTGGAGCTCCTAGGATCTGAGTTAATTACTTGTATCCAACATGTACAAGTCATTAACTTATGTTATGCATCACTGTGGTACCAGTACTGATCTCTCTGGCACTCCACTGGTTTCAGGTTGCCATCCTGTACTTGATCGTGTTATGTAATTTTGCATGATCTGCTACTACTTCCTTTATAATAGGCGCCAAAAGCTGTCAAGTGCCCTTAGTACCTTGTAAGTTTTAATAAGGTCACGTCTTATTCTTCTCAACGGAGGTGAGAAAGGCTTGAGTAGTCTGCAGTGTAATAGCAGATTTACACATTGCTGCACTGTTTATATTTTGAGATTCTAGTGATGCAACGAAATTCCTTTTAGCCTCTCCTCACATTAACACAATTTAAAACTGATAATTATAATCACTGAGTATCTAAGCTAAGAATTTATCTCTCAAATAAAGAAACTCTTTACAATTCCACTGAAAATTGTCCCATGACCACAAGTACCTCCTCATAACAAAAAGTTTATTACCTAAGATATTGTTCTGCAGAATCTGTGTTGTACATTTATTGTGGCTTTCATGTCTTTTCTGTTGTGGTGGCCCAAAACCACAGTTAATCTGAGCTCTGACTATTTATCATAACTTCAGTGCTTTATTACTCAAAGTGCAACTGTCCCTCGCCTGATGCTGTTTTGACAACAGAGATCTGTACTCAAGTCCCAGTGTAGAGTTCAAACCACTGCTTCCTAATTCAGAAGAAAATGTGCGTGCAAACTCAAGCCTAATGGGGGATAAAGAGCGCCACTGGACCAATTATTTTTCCCATTTGTATTCCGTAAACCTAAGCTCTGAGCTTTTAGAATTTATTTGATAACAGGAGAATTGAGATCAATCATGTCCTTTAAAAAGCACCCACTTTCCACCCAAAATCATTGAACAGAAATTAGCAGCAGAGAGATCAGTGATGACTTTTTCTTCCCGTTCTCTATCCCAATTATCAAAGTCCATCCTCAGCTAGTGCCAGCATTGTAGTCTGACTTTGCTTTTGTTCCGCCGCCAGCAGAGATTTTGGGGTTGGGAAACTCTAACTCAGCTCACAAAATCAGTTGAAATTGCAGCCCACAAAACATTCAAAGAAATTGGACTGGATATTTTGCCTTAGGTGATATCTTGAACAGCTGAGATCAGCAGTTGGGGTAGCACTTCCATCTCAGTGTACAATTTTGAATTTATGTTTTTTCGGATATGAAAGGGGAGCCATTTGAAAGTAATATACTTTTTTCAGAATATTTATTCTCTCTGAACCTTTATTGATCCCAGAATCATGTTTTCTCAACTTACCATCTATTCAAAAGCAATGGTATCCTTCTTATGATTGAGTGACCAGGGCATGGATGGGGAGGTACAGTAGTTAAATGGATCTTTGATGATAGTGGTTGTGACTTGGAATGGAAGAGGAAAGTGACTGATGATTTGTGACTCCCCTTTTTCTACCTATCATCAAAGACCAATTTGACCCTCCTCCCTCCCTGATCTCCATATGATGCATGCCATCTTTCAATGTAGAAATTTAATTCAGGCAAAAAGCCGTCTCCTCACCTCGGAATCCATTTCCATTCCCATTGGAGCAGGCCGGGGAGGGGGAGTCTTGGGGTCGGATCACCGGTGCAAAGGCGCTCTTCTGTTTCACTGCGGGGAAGACAGAAGATGAGAAGGGAAGAATGGCAGATGTGCTGGAGGACAGAGGAACAGCAGAGGCCACAGTCGGACTGGAAGGCATAACTGTAAGAAATCAAAAAAGAGGAAGAAAAGAACAGCTCTGTCTTAGACATAAAGGACCCATCTTGTGTGGAACTGGAGTATTTGATTTGTGTCGTGAGCGAGTTTATAATTTAAAGGAGCATCATGTCAGCACGAGAGCATTTGGCAAATATTTCATCCATTTGAAAACACACAGCGACCACCCCACAGCATGTGTTCAAAATGTTAAAACAGTTTCTTTGTTTTTATCAATCTGAAGCATAAACCTAGATTACCCTCCACATATGCTGTCTGACTCACTAAGTATTGTCAGCATTTTCGGTTTTTAGTCTGGATGTTCGGTCCCAGTGGGGGAATACTTCAGCGGTTCAGGACATTCAGCCATGGATCTTCAGGTAAACGTTCTCCAAGGCAGACTTTGGGATACACAACAATGCAGAGTCGCCGAGCAGAGGCTGATAGCCAAATTCAGTGCCTATGAGGACAGCCTCAACTGGGATCTTGGATTCATGTCGCACTACCAGTGACCCCACCACACTATACACTCCCTCCTCACCACACCCCCCCCCCCCCCCCCCCCCCCCCCCCCCCC